AACCGAGATGGAATAGCAATGCACTGCAGCAATAGGGACTTGTTTCTTTTCTCGTTTCCGCTTAGTACATAATAATAGAAGGGGCTAGAGATGTTCGATAATATGTATGTTTGAAAGACCAGCGGCTCTACCTATTCAAAAGACGAACAAGTAGGTTGAAGGGTGTAATATCCAGTGTAATCTGCCAGCCAGTTGTCGGGGCATCTGTCGGATAATGGGATCTTAATGTCTGCCAGTATCCTTGCAGACATACACACTCTACTTTATGATAGAGTATTATTTATTTATTTTGTTTTTATTATTGCTATGTATACCACTTACAGACGCTGTAATGTAAATTAATTTCATATTCACTATACCGGCTGATTTGTTACTTATATTAACAACCATTATCAATTATTCTCCTACGGGATACTCTAAAATAAACTCGACCTTTATGCATTAGTCATACTCATTTGTTACTCATTATTCATACTAAGCATTTTTCTCGAGGTACGGAAAATGTTTAATTTGGATTACTTAAACTGAGGTTTGAATACTCTTATGTCATGATTTTTTCCTCTCTTAATTATTACTGTCAAAACATTTTTTATGAAATATTTTATTATTTTCTTCAGCTATTTTGAATTGAAGAGGTAATTTAATCTTAGATTTCTTATTTGCTTATCATTATCATGAGCTCCTATCTTGATAAGCGAGAAAAGGTTAGGAAATAAAGGTTTTTGATACTTTTATATATTAATGTTTTATGGTTTTAACCTTCTAAAATTAATATACATACGATTAGGATTGAAAAATAATAAAAATCTTTAGCATGTTGTTAATATAAGTTAACATATTGTTGTGCTGATGAATAAACTAGGTAAAAAGTTTGATTAAATAAACATTTGGTTTCAAAATAAATCTGTGGCCGGGAGTAAAGGACATCACGGCCATTTTTTTTTTTTTTTTTTTGTTAAATAATTTAGCAAATAAGAAACAAGTTTTAATAACTCAATCTTTTAGAAAATGATAAATTAAAAAAATTGGCATGGTGTCCTTTACTCCCAAGGTACAGATTTAGTAACTAAAAAACAAATTTTAATTGCTCAAAGTTATGCAACATTGGCTCCCTGAACATATACAAAAATGTGACATGGTGTGTTTTACCTCCGACGTACAGATTTAGTAACTAAGAAACAAATTTTAATTGCTCAAAATTATGGAACATTGGCTCCCTGAACATATACAAAAATGTGACATGGTGTGTTTTACCTCCGACGTACAGATTTAGTAACTAAGAAAAAAATTTTAATTGCTCAAAGTTATGGAACATTGGCTCCCTGAACATATACAAAAATGTGACATGGTGTGTTTTACCTCCAACGTACAGATTTAGTAACTAAGAAACAAATTTTAACTGCTCAAAGTTTTGTAACGTTGGCTCCCTGAACATATACAAAAATGTGACATGGTGTGTTTTACCTCCAACGTACAGATTTAGTAACTAAGAAACAAATTTTAACTGCTCAAAGTTTTGTAACGTTGGCTCTCTGAACATATACAAAAATGTGACATGGTTTATTTTACCTCCGACGTACATATTTAGTAACTAAGAAACAAATTTTAATTGCTCAAAGTTATGTAACATTGGCTCCCTGAACATATACAAAAATGTGACATGGTGTATTTTACCTCCGACGTACATATTTAGTAACTAAGAAACAAATTTATGAAAGATTGGCTCCCTTGAACAAATACAAAAATGTGACATGGTGTGTTTTACCTCCGACGTACAGATTTAGTAACTAAGAAACAAATTTATGAAAGATTGGCTCCCTTGAACAAATGAAAAAATGGACATGGTAGTCTTTTCTTCCGGGGGAAAGATATTACTGGAGAAAAAACAAATCTTACTTTCCTCTATAGCTAATTAATATAACTCTTTTTTGGTATAAACAAGGTGCAACTCCATAGAACAGTGGACATAATAGATTTACACCGTGCACTTCCAGCTGTTATATCCTATATTTTATCAATCTCCGACAATATATATATATATATATATATATATATATATATATATATATATATATATATATATATATATATATATATATATATGTATATATATATATTGACATCTCATCAAGCTATCCAAAAACATAAGCATATATATATACATATATATGTTCATGCTTGAGTTATGTTTTTGGATAGCTTGATGAGATGTCGATAGCAAATCTTTTGTTTTTTCTTTTTACTTTCTTCCTTTCTGTCCTGATGATGCCTGATTGACGAAACGTTTGCAAGTTAACTGTTGTAGATTCGTACGTTGTAGACTCGTGGCTTTATAGTTTGGATTGTTCCACTCATAAAGTCTCTTTTCGTGCTGTTTGCTTATTTTAGTAGTATATTTTTAATATTATTATTATATAATGGATTGAGTGTGATAAAAGTCCCTCATTTGTTCCATTTTTTGTTTTTCGTAAACTTTGAGAATCATATTTTCTAAAAACTAGATAAACAATTAATTTCCATTTGGCGACCTAGTTGCAACAAGGGATGGAACTCATTATAAAAAGGGATTATTTTCTGGAAGATAAATTAATTAGTGCCGAGGCCAAAGTTTCTCTTTACCTTCCGGGCGAGTTTTCTCGCTCCGACGCTCGCCCCGTGTTAGATCTTTCGCGATAAATTGTTTAATGTTGTTTGGATATTATTTCTGAAACTTTATTAATCTTTGAGCGTATATTTTAGAAATCGCTACCATGAAAAAAAAGTTGTACTTATGCACACTAATGCTTTTTCCTGCATATCATAAATTCCATTTTATCTTTATTTTATTAGGATATTTTGATATGGCAGATAGATGAAAATGGTAATATCGTGGAACTAGGTGCCTTTTTTTCCTGCTGAGTATTATAATAGAAATGAGTGTGTTACATTATGATTTGTTTAGTTTTGATTGGTTGAATTATAATTGGGTGAGGAAGTATATACCTACAGATGGAAACGATCAGAGTTAGTTAAACAACCCTAGTTTCTAGACTCATTCCAACTAATTTTCTTCTTTCGCTTGGTATCCGTTATAAGTTATATTTAGATCTATGTTTGGCTTAAAGAGCTAAGATGTTACTTTAACTGGATTTTTTTTCTCCTTATAAGATAGAAAAATGTCGAGGATCTGCTTCGATAACTGTCTGTCTACGTTAACTGGAATATCTTTTGTACTGGATTGTGATAAAGCGCCACATATCAATGGTTGTAAAAGTATACTAAAGCAGGAAATGTTAGCCAAATAAGAAGGAAGAAAATTAAAAAATATTTTATAACATATAAAATTACGGTTTTTGTTAGAAACAATCTTTTTATATTATTTCTCAAAGGTGTTTTTTTGTACGCTGCATTTTTGTCAATTCTTCGTCAAATCCAATGACGAGCTCTTATTCGAAGATGTTCTGCTTCAGATAGGAAAAATATTTACATTCCACCGTAATTTCTAGAAAAAAAGTTATAAAGAAAAAGAAACTTTATTTGTCAATGAATCAAAAAGTATACATTTTTGTCGATTGTACCCATTACTTGAAAGATTTCTGAGTATATGGAAAAAAACAACATAAAATTCAGATTATTATTGCCTGAGATGCAGGTTATTGTGATTCGTAAAAATTTTGTTTTAAAACATGAATGAAGTTTTATTACAATTTTCTTTTCCTTGGTCGATCGCAATTACCGAAAAAATAGGAAATGATTCCTTCATCTTAGGATACGTTAAATAATTTAATTTTCCTATAATTTTGTTATTTGTTCACTGTCCAATATTCTTTGTGAATTATTCGATGGGACTAACTAGTAAGACTAATTTTTACTATTATATTATTTTTTCACAAAAATAGTTGGATGTAGGATGCGTGGGATGGGCATTAGCTACAATTTATTAATATGCGTTATGTAAATAGTGTAAATAGGTATGTCTGCATCTAAGATGTTTATTTATATTACTTTTTTTTATTTTATTATTACTATTATTTATATTTTCTTCCCTCATTATGATATTTTATTTTGTTCTTGTTTCGCTGAATATTATTTTGAAACTACCTTTTTTTTTTTTTTGATTTTGTAAATTTGGTGTAAATGTGCTCTCAGAACTCTATAAGTGTTCTTTATTGAGACAGATTGAATATTTATCAATAAACAAGTAATCTAATAAAAAAAATATATATATGCTTTATTTATTTATTTGTTTATTTTTGTTTTCAGGTAAGACAGTACAGTGATAGTGCGTTATCTACTTTTATTAGCATGTGAGTATTAAATTAAATTTTATATTTTGTGGATTCATGTCCATTTGTTTTAATATTGAGAATCTTGTTCTCATTCTTAGGTTTCCGATTTTTCTGCTTACCGATAATTTTTAATTTGTAATAATTAAACGCATTTGATCCTTTGATCAAATCAATTTATACAAAATAATTAAAAGTTAATTTACATAAATCTTAGTATAATAAATGATAAAAACATTTTAGAACGAATAATAACATCAGCTTTCAATATTTATTTTTTTTTTTTTAAAGCCGATATTATTCATTTTTTTTTTCAATTAATATAAATTAACTTTCAATTATTTTTTATAAGTTCATTATACTGAGTATTCTCAGTGATGGTTTGGCCTAAACTTTGGTTTTAAATGAAAACGAAAAATAAAAATCTAACTAAAAAAAAAAAAAACTAATATATAGGCATTTTATTACTTCTTAAAATTTCTGTTTGTTCCGGCTACTTTTTGAATGGTCGAATTTCTATAGAAAGAATTCACGGTATGCGTAAAAAAAAACAAAAAAAAAAACTTATAAATGTATCTATTATTTTTCGTTTACGAGTATTTCCAAGAACAAGAAACGTTTTCAGTTATTAACTTTCGAATCGACAGGAGCTTGAAAGAGCATTTGCAGGCGGTTGCATAGCCTTAATGACCCCGCCTAGCCTTAGACTGTAATGATGGGTAAAAGCCCTGTGCATTAGTGGAGCATGAAGCCCTGGATCGATTCCCGACAAGTGCAGCATGCAACCACTCCTGTTAATGCACTCCGGTCGATGGCAAGGTTCGTTTTTAATTCGCCGTTGCATGAACGTTTTTGATGGTACACATCAAACAGCCCTCCCTCCAGCACCCCTTCCATCCTTGAGCGCTGCCTGCTTGAGCCAATATTGACGCTGTTCCATCCCGGAGGTTCCACCGTTAATTTCGTTGCTAGGAGAGGGGCTCTTATCGGGAGATTATGCGAGATTCCGAGGCTCAACTATTAATCACGATCGAGCCCTTATAAACACACTGTAAAAAAAATTAAGCAATTTTTAGAATTTTATAGAGAAATTTTCAATACTTTTATTGAAAAAAAAAACTGTGAAACTCTGAATTATGTAAAGAGTCTAATTAATTGTAAATACTGAGGAACATTTTGCCTTTAATATCCTCTAAATTTTGTTTCTATTAAAGCCAATTTGAATATTTAAATATAAATGGTAACCTGTATTAAAGAATTAGGGTGGACACTCATGATGATATTACGTGAATATAGGAATACGAAGTAAAATCATGCCAAATAAACTGATAATGTTATGATCATGAGAAAAGTAGTTATATTTAACTACTTAAGCAACCAATCGATTGACCTTATGGATTGTTATTTTTTAAACATCCATATACTTTTAGGTTCTAGCGAATAATAGTTGACATAATTATATTTTGGTAAAATAAAAATGTCTTTATTTTTTTTTAATAGCGAATGTCTTGATAGGATAAGAAAAATATAATTAAATCTAGAAAAAAATAATGATAATCCTATATATTATTTATAAAAGGTGTTTTTTTGTCGGTACGCCATAACTTCGTCAATTCTTCATCAAATCTAATTATTGACCACTCATTTTGAAGATATTCTTCTCCTTCACATGCGAAAAATATTCCTATCTTATTTAAACAAGTGTATTTAAACACTCATGTTAAAATTTAATTATAGATAATCATCTTTAATCACAGATAACTCATCGGTGTGTTAGGGAACGAGTATAATGTGAAAAATGTATATTATAGTGAATAATATATGTAGAGCATATTATTATATAAATGCGTAGTGTGAGAGACAGATTAAGGATGGCTAAAGACATGGTTTTCGAACATAATATAATTTCTTTAAAGCCTTCACTGTTTGCCATTTATGTATACAGACCGGTGTAACAGTAATATGGATATTTATCTTTGGTGTTTTTGAATGATACATTATCCATACTCAATAAATCAAGTCAGGTTTTAATTTATTTTATTAGAAAGCTGATGTTTACGTGTTTTTTTTCTGTCTTTATTTTTTTGTTATTTTTCATAGTTCTCTCTCTCTCTCTCTCTCTCTCTCTCTCTATATATATATATATATATATATATATATATATATATATATATATATATATATCATTCACTTTTACAATAAAGATGACGTCAAATAGATAAATCATACTTACAATGTCTTGCCTATCTGTGGAGCATTGCTGGTTACATTTTGATGATCCGTTTATTTTGCAAGCGAACGTTATACGGTTACGCGCCCACATCTGTCGCTGGTATATTATTACGCGGATTTACCAGTTATCGCTACCATAATTTCTCTTTAAACTAACCTAGCTCTATCATTCTAAGAATAGGGAACTTCTGCTGCCCAAATCAGCTCTTAGCTATTATAAGAAGGAAATGGGTACATTTAACTAATTCGGTCCGAACTAATTCGTTCTTGTTTCCAGTCGTAGGCAGCAAGTGGGCGGCGACCATCACCGCAAGGACATTGCTTCGTATAACAAAGCCCCGCTAGCGAGCCCTGACAAAGTTTTCCCATCAAATCAATTACTTAATCGAAGAGGAGCGATTTAAATAGGACCTTGTCCCGCTGAGGGAGTACAGGCCGCAATCCAATTAGCGGCTCAAACGGTAATAGTCCACTTCTCGGCTTAGTATCTAATAAACAACACAACCCACTGGCAAAAGACTATTTTAGGCTTCACATAACATCCAAGATCTATGGTGCTTTTGAACTACCGACTTGTTCAATATAGAATACTATATAAATATTTATTATACCAATTATAGCTTTCGGAAAATAGTAGATTTTAAATGTTTATATGTATAACGATGTAGAAATGGTTGACCGTTGATATAATATGAGAAGGAGTTAGTCGGGGGTGCGGTCAAATAAATACTAAATTAAAATATAGTAATTATTTTAATTTTTGCCGACGTTTCGACCCACTTTGCAGGTCGTCTTCAGGGCGTAGGATGTAGCACTGCGGGAGGCAGTTGAAACACTGGCCAATATATAAATCTATACATATAATCTTGATATTGTTATTATTATGAGAAAAGTTGTTTTATTCAACGACTTAAGGAACCAATCGATTGAACTTATGGATTTTTATTTTTTTAAACATCCATATACTTTTAGGTTCTAGCGAACAATAGTTGACATAATTATATTTTGGAAAAATAAAAATGTCTTTTTTTTTGTTTTTTTTATAAAATAAACTAATATTTATATAACTCTATATGTATAGATTTGTGATGAGTTTCGGAGAAGTTTTAATTTTTCCTTTTCACTACGAATTAGGGTGACTTTTCCCTCTTTTCTTTGACAGTACTTCCTAAGTACATTCATTCCTTTACCAAGTTATCAAAAACCCTGGCTCATACTATGTCAACAATCTTCTCAAATGCAAGTCCTTTATCCACTCCCTTATTAAAAGTTTTGAACCTTCTTACCTTTATACATCTGTTCATAAATCTACCTTATTTCAGTACTCCTTTGTTGATAGTTTTCTGGAAATCTATACTCTGAAAATCTAGCATGACATGCACGGTACCAAGGAAGTGAAGATTCACCTTTAGTTGTTTAAAAAAATTATGTAGTTTGATTGAAGAGAAGTAGGTCTTAAACAGACAAAATAAAAATAATTAAATGAAGTTTATTTTTGATTTGTCTATTTTTGACTGAATACCCCAACCAACTTCAATACTATTCACTACAGTCGACCATCTCATACCAGTATTATGTAATTTGATATTCGGTCAGAATACCTGTGTTTTCTTCAAAAATAAATATAAAAATATTTAAAAACGTTATTTTATTTAATTTTTTTCCGTTATGGTGTGTATTGTGATAATTTAATTTAAAAAATATACTTTTAATTTGTTTAAAAAAATATGCAAAAATTATAGCACTTCTTTAAAAATTTATCATCTATTTAAGCGATTTATGCAGAGATTTCTATAATGGAAATTGTTCCTTATTGTATTGAGTGACCAACTAAATGTTCTTAATGCTGTACTACTATATTCTAAATATATTTACGAGACACCCTGTTTATGAAATTTTATTATATCTGCTTTTACCTAGGACTAAACATGACCTTGGTATTAAATAACAACCACTTCAGTTTCCGATCCTCCTTCATCTTCTTTTATGATAAAAACTGATACTGCATAAAATCTTCCTTGGACTTTATATAATAAACAGGAATTGTTGCTTACTAAACCTTTTTTGTTGATTTATTGTTAATTATAATTATTTTATTACATCAGGATGAAGAGTAGGGATTGAGCTGTAATTATAGATTTTATAATGGTAGTGCCGGGGGGCTGATAGATGGTAGAGTACACACAGACTACAAATATGTGTACAAGGTCCGTTAATGGCTGTTCCCGTATTGATAGTTTCCTGTTTACCGTCCAAGATAGGCCACATTTCATTAGACCTCCGCCGTCGATATCTCTGCCTATCTACTAGATTGTGTTCCCTTTAGTATAGTGCTTTAGTAACTAATTCTACGGCTCGGTGTCATGCTCTTCCATTCAGTCATGGTCCTCGCTCAGAAAATTAAAATGTTAAGAATATTCATTAATCTGCATATATCACTTCTCAAAGACGTAATAACGAAATAAATGTTTCTATTATTATAATAACGTTTAAAATATAGAAACATTTTGATTCCTTCAATAATTTTCATGGAAACGTAAATATTCGGTTCTGGAATAGTTAGTTCATCACTAATAAATAAATAAATAAATTCATATAGTATGGATCTTGGTAAAAAACACAGATTCATAATCACTTCACATAAAAAATATTTGAAAAATCATTTCTTTTTTATTAATAAAAAGTGTATTTAGACACTCATACTATATACCCCCAGATCATGAAAAAAATTATAAATAAAAGCGTTTAGATAATTTATTGTAGTCAATAAAGATAAATTCATATAGTATAGATCTGGGTGAAAAACACAGATTCATAATCACTTCACATAAAAAATATTTGAAAAATCATTTCTTTTTTATTAATAAAAAGTGTATTTAGACACTCATGCTATATACCCCTAGATCATGAAAAAAATTATAAATAAAAGCGTTTAGATAATTTATTGTAGTCAATAAAGATAAATTCATATAGTATAGATCTGGGTGAAAAACACAGATTCATAATCACTTCACATAAAAAATATTTGAAAAATCATTTCTTTTTTATTAATAAAAAGTGTATTTAGACACTCATACTATATACCCCCAGATCATGAAAAAAATTATAAATAAAAGCGTTTAGATAATTTATTGTAGTCATTTTTGATAAAAATTAATATTTTTAGCAACAGGACATAAAATCACATTTTTTTTTATTATGATGTTTACAACTGTATTAGTATAAATACATCAAGTAAATGTATACAGAGGAATATAATCATATGAAAACGCTTGTTGAGAAACAACCTATTGGTAGTACTCTAATAATATGTCTACATGAGAAGATCACGAGGCCATCTTCTTTTCAGACGCCTCGGAGGGTTATCAGAAATCAAAGAGGAAAGCAAGATTAGAAACAAGAGGATTCGGATGGTTATGAAGTTTATCATGTCAGGAAAGGTTCAAATTGGAATCATCTGGATTGGACCGAATTGGAAACATATGGAACATTAAGATATTTATGGATTATTTTATTTGTGACAAAGTAAGGAGCATTGAGGATTTTGGATTGTAATGATTGGATACGAGAGGAATTTGATGGTTCAGTGGAGCCCCATAGCTCCACTCCGTAAGTCCAAATAGGTCTTATTATAGTCATGTATATGAGTCTTTTGTAATTAATTGTAAGTTTGGCGTTTGTATAGTAAGTGTTGGAGTAAGTGGAAAGTTCGAACAGTTTCTTGCCGTTTCAGTCTTGTATGAGGATTCCAAGTGAGACGTTTGTTCAGGTGGAGTCCTAGGTATCGGGTTTGTTCTACAGGGATAAGTGGGGTGTTATTGAAGGATACTGTAGGACAGCAATTCATAGGTTTACGACGAAGGGTGAAGGTGATTTGATGGGATTTATTTTAATACTCCAGTTTTGACACCATTCTCCTAGGTTTGGTAGTTGGTTTTAAATTTTGTTTTCCACCACGAATCTTTTTTTTGTTTTCTTTCATAAATTGTATAACCTATTTTTTTTGCAGTTTAACTTTCTTTCGTTTCCATTTGCCCTAGTAACTTCATTTACAATTCATACAATTAAACGACATTTCTAAATTTGACGAATGATTTTTACGGAAACACCTGCTGGAGAAAGCAGTGCGGAAATAATATATTTACTGGTCTAGAAAAGGAATGATCAATTCTTAACGTGTCCCTTTTTTAAGATAAGAAGTGTAGGCAGCTGTTATTGCTGTGTCTCTCTCATACATTTTTTCTTTTCTAAATTTCGTCCCTTGGGTCTTGCTAAGTTATTAACTGTAAGAACGTTTTCGACTTCTATCCCTCGGTTCAGAATTCAATTATTTACTAAGAAAACGACGAAACTGGTAATCAAATATAATTGTTTGGATTTGATTGTTTCAGTTCAATATTTTATGAAGCCGCCTTGTAGATATCCAACTTTTAATTGATCGGTTGTTGTATAATTAATGGATCGATGAGAGCTTCTTCAACTGCCCACAGTATTCTTATCTATCATTAATGACAAGTTATTTGGAGATGTAGACTCGAATTAGAATTTTCTATGTAGCTTTGTTGTAATTATTCAATTGATGTATTTTTTATTTTAGGTTAACATTCAGTATGTAGAGACTAAATTATTTCCGCGAAACATGAAGGTAAACAGAGAGAATAATCGATGAAAATACCACTTATATTTTATACCATCATGAAAGCTTTTTGTCTCGAAGCTAAATTTTTATTGGATTATTGAACATTAAATCTTATTTATATCCTAAATATGTGGAAATGTCACTATTTTCATCAGCAGGTAAAAATAACAATTAATGGTTAAAGCTTTATAAAACACGAATCATCCATTTTCTGACATGATGTATAAATTGCTTTTCATTTATCAGAACGCCGGATTGCGGTTTCACCTTTGGCATTTTCATTATTTTCCACCAACTCCATGCATTTTCTATTACGAGGTGCACTTGTCTTTCTTGCTGTCATTAAAACTTATGATCACATGCATTTTTATCTCGTTGCAGTATCGGTTTTCATAGAATCTTAAAGAAACACTAAAAAGGGGGGGGACCTATCTTTATTATTTATACACCCC